AAAGACCAAAACCCCTGTGCTCCAATTGTCTCAGCTATACTCCACTGTATGTTGCCAGGCCCCATCTAACACCGTTGCTCAGCCCCTTTCATCGATATCATTGCAAGGCTCCTGCTTGATCATAATCACATGAAAATTTGGCTGCTGAAGACCAGTCTGGTGGAAGGTGGGGTAGGAGCAACAGCCACCTTCACTGGGCCTGATGCCTCATCACCCAGCAGCTATGAGCCTCCTTGTGCACGTTCACCAAGTGTTGCCTTCAGTCCCATGGGGCAGCTCCTTCAGCAATCCTGAATCACACCTGGCTTCATTCCAACACTGCCTCCCAGCAGCCTCCACTGCATCCCATACGGCGTGCTCTGGTGTCATGCCCCTCCCCCGCGTGCTGAGGCTATGCAGACAGCCTGCTTATTGCAAATTTCCCTGCTCTTTATTTAACAAGCCAGGCCTAGCAGCAGGCTGATTTGTAAACTGTTTATATGCTAAGCTGTGGCCTGTTGGATCCCACGAGCAGTCGAGTAGCCTTGGAGGTGGCTAAGCCAAGTGCAGAGGAATTCATTCATAACTCCGGCGAGACAGACAGCTTGGGTGTCCTGTTCTACGCCCAGCCGGAGGTTGAGGTAGCAGAGGAGTTGAGCTAAAGCTACTCATGCCAAAGCAGGGCCACGCTCTGAGCTGTCTAGCTTCTTCCAACGCGTGCTTTTATGGGCTAGCGCTGGGGCCAACACAGCTGAGTGAGATTGTCTGGGCCCTCTCTAGAATGACTCTAAAAGCGGCTAGCGTTGCATTTCCTCTCCCCCCTTTCTGGGTTGGACTGCAAGCTGATATGCAAAGGCAATTGTGTCCTGGACACCAATTCATAGGCTATTGGGTTTGTGGTGTCAGCCCCCTTGCCTGTGCCCTTCTGTACATGTGGTCATAGGTCCCCTCCAGCCACATCTCTGAAACACTGCACAGCAAGCACTGCTCCACGCACCCTATGTGAGTTTAGAAGGAAGGCGGTAAAGGAAAAATTATTGTTAAAAACCTCAGGGGAAGGATAGCTAGACCCAAAATGCTGGGGCTAGTGGGGGCATAGCGCGATATTAAATGAAATTAGAGGCAAGGCAGACATTTTGTAATGGTGAGCACTTGAACAGTTTACCAAAGATTGTGATGAAGTCTCCACCACTGGCCATTTTTAACTCAAGATTGGACGTTTTGCTAAAAGATCAGTTCCAGGCATTGTTCTGATAACATTCTCTGACCTGTGTTACACTGAAGGCCAGACTAGATGATCACAATTCCTTCTGGCCTGGAATCTATTAACTTCATCTCCGGGAACGTGTTTTCTTTTCTTTAAATTTAATCTAAAGTCCCTCACTGAACCATCCCCGAGTCATTTGACAGCAAAGACTCAGCCATGCTGAGTTCATCCTTTGCAGACACTACAGGCACACGAAGGGAAGTTCTTTCCCCTCAGCCCTTTCCTGATTTTTTGTTTTTAAATCCAACACACAAGTTCAGAGTGCTGTGAGCCTCCTGGCCTTTTCCCTGAGGAACGCGGGGTGGGCAGTGCGCTGGTCCACGTGGCTTGCCATTGGTCAGGGAGCCAAAGAATTGCTTGGCCGGGATTGTTACCAACAGCAGCTTGGTCCTGAGGGACTGACAAAGCAGCAGAAGCCAGTGGAACATGGCGACCCCCTCTGCTATTTATGCCAGAGGGCTCCTGCTGGAAACTGAGCGGGGCTGCTGCTTCCTTGGCATGTGCTGGGATCTCTGCCAAACACCAGCATTGATTAAGATCAACAATAGGCACTGTGCAACAAACGGACTGGAGAGAGCCAGCCCTGTGACACTCCACCCAGCCCCGTTTGGCTGGGGAGAGAGCAGTGTTGTTTTGACAGGCACCGCAGCAAGCAATAGCATTTTTCCCCAGGTTTCTCTCAGTCTACAAGTACAAAGCAGGCAAGGAGAATGCTGTGCCTGGGCTAGTAAACGTTCTAATTATGACGACTGAGGAACCCCAGGCGTGCATCAGGACCCCATTGTGCTAAGCCCTGTACAAATGCAGAACACAAGGATGGGCCCTACCCCAAAGAGCTCAATCACCCCTCCCAAGAACATGGGCCAAGCAGCAGGGTCTGTCAGAGGGAAGTTAAGGTGTAGCAATGACACAATAGCCCAGGGATCCTGGGGACTGGCCACAGGACTGCAAAACCAAATCCCGGCCTCACTGACCTGCCCCCTGAGGCCTCGGCCTTGAAGGTAGAAGCCTGTCGTCTAACCTCTTGGTCACATGGGGTGATGGAGTTTAGCAGCGACAGTTCCCTGCCACGATCCTTACAAAGCACATGGACATTTCCCTCCCAGCCCCACAGCTCTCTCCGATCTGCTGCTATCCTCCCAGACAGGGCTTTGTCTCATTTTCCTGTTACCCTGGCTACCGAATGCTCAGACCCCAGCCATGGCCCACAGTCCAAAGACAGCTGCCAAGGCTCCATCCCAGTGAAACTCTGTTGTGCATCCTCCTCCAGCTGGTCCAAGAAAGGAAAAGGCTGATGCATTTTCTGCCCATGCCAACATGATGTGGTAACAGCACCACACAGTGGCCACTTGAAATATAGAACAGGGAAAGGACAGCCAACGCTCAGACCATGGCCTTACTGTTTCACTAAAACCTTATAAAAAGAAAATGATTTACACTGATGATCTATCCTCTCACCTCCTACTTATCTCATCCGTCACTATGCAGGGCCCCTGCTATGGATGGTCACTCATGCCTTGCCATTATATCTCAGTTTAGTCCTAAATTCACCTCTGCTCCTTAGGGGAAAAAAACCTCACTTATTCACTTTAAAAACAGCGGAGATGGGCCAAAACTTGTGGTTTTGCAAGCCCATCAAGTTCTGGTTCTGGAAAGTTGACACAAGGGCTGGGTGAAGAGCCAGGCCTCATTTTCTCAATATCCCCTTTCTCCAAACCCTAGAACGGGGCCAGGTTTGGAGAAATGGTCCTGGCTATAGCCTCTAACGTACATGTAGATCACAAGTACAAAATCCTGAATCGGAGGTTATAGACAGTGGGGTTTCTGTTATAAAAATGGATTGCGGCTCTACAGTGCCAGGTGTGCCCTGCTTTTGCCAACAGGAACAAAATGCCAAGATATGGGTTGGGGAAATTATCCTTGGTAATTATATACACCAGACTCTACCCTGCCCTTTTTGATAAAAATAAACTGGGAGAGGAGGCCAGTAATAAAGCTGTAGGAACATCTCCACGGTGACAGGCTGCAAGATAAGGGTCCAGTCTGAATCCTTATCAGGCTCCAGTGCCTTGCTCAGTTGGCTGTAGTGAGAAAGAGGCCTGACCTCAGTGCTCTGAAGCCATCTGTTCTTGCATCTGTGGATCCTTATCTCTTGCTGAAGCATCTAGAGAACTCCTGATATTGCTGAGAACATACCCAGGTGGTTCCAGTCTGACCTGGCGAGTGTAAGGGAAAGAACTTATATTCATTCAAATAAGATTTGCATGATGAGATGAGAACCTGATTGAGATCAAAACAAAAATGGCAAATGGATTTAGCTGAACAGCCCTTGAGCTGGAAGGTGCCTGGTTACCCACAGAACAGCTGTGCTCCAGCATAACTCTGGTGGAAATCTTGTGCCCAGGCTGTCTTCCTCCACTGCAAATCTGTTCCCTCCTCTTTCAGTTCCACCGTCTTCCTTGCTAAACAACTCCACTTCTCCAACTTATCTGAATCCACCCCCGCAATCTCAGCCTCCTTTTCACCACCTCTCCCTCCCCCCACCCCGGTCTCCACCAATTTCTTCCAAGCGAAAACTGACAAAATACAAAGTGATCTTCTACCTCCCCTTGGTTGGCATTCCCTTCTTCCTACAACTCTCACCTCCTTCTC